GACTATGTACAAGAGAAAATATGATGAACCCATAGAAAACCATTATGCCCTAAACATCTTGAGATGATACACAAACAGATAGATATGGGATAACGATCAAGGAACAGATAAAGAAATGATAGTTACAGTATAAAATAAGATAAGTAATAACGAACGATATGAAACCTTACGAAAGGAAAATAGGTCAAAGAACGTATAACAGACCGAGAAAATATAGTAAAGACATAGCATGAGAAACGAAAACGCAAAAAGACGCGAAACTGACTTGTTTTCTGTTCGCTTTTCCACCCCTCCGATCGCTCACATTCGATGGTCCAACAAGCACGACATTGGAACCAACAATCTTCTCTCCCAAATTTATCTATCGGCTCAGTTTCCTACCTGTGCATCCCTCTGCGTCTCGTCTCCCTCTCGTCTCCCTCTCTCTGCGGTCTTCTCTCCTCCTCTCTCTCTCTGTATAGCCTCTCTTCTGCGTCTGCGCTTCTCTGCCTGCTCCGCTCTCGTCTGCTTATCTCTTCTCGTCTCGTCTTCTCTCGCTCTCCCCTCGTCTCTATTTCTTGCTCGTCCTCGTCTTCTCTCCTGCTCCCTTCGTCTTGGCTTATCTTCTTTCCTCTTTGCCTCGAGTCTCTTTCGTCTCGTCTCTTTCTTCTCATGCTCCTCTCCTCTCCCTCTGCGTCTTCGTCTAGGTCTTGCTCTCGCATCTACGTCTGTCGCTCCGTCTGGCGTTTCCTCTCCCTTTCTCCCTCTTCTCATTTCTCCTTTCCGCATCTCTCTCCCTTTCGTCTGCGCTTTTTCTCTCTCTGCTCTCTGCGTTTGCTTTCTTCGTCCTTCTTCTCCTTTGTCTCAGTCTCCTATTCCCTTTCGCTCTCGCTCTCCTTATTTCGTGCTGCGTTTTCTCTCTTCCTCGCCTTCCCTCTCTCTCTCCTGCTGCCCCCGTCGCATCCTTCCGGCCCCCCGCTGCACGGATAGATATACACGGCGCTATCTAGCGGGCAGTTCGGCGCGAACTTCACGGACGGGGAGAGGGGTGATGGGAGGCTAATTACGGAGGGGGA